GCAGGCATGGTTAGGAGGGGCAGCATCGTAGCAAGTTGGATCGCATGGCGAGTGTCCGCTGTGGGCACATCTGATGATGCTTCAGATTGAATTTCAGGCTATGCAGAAGGAATGGACCGGCACAATATGCCTAGGGGGCGTACATCTCGAGTCACTCATCTAAATACATTCACGTGAACGAAGCGGAAATCATGCTTTGCACTGCTGAAAAGCCGTCTTTTTCATAGTCTTACAGATAGGACTGCGACCCAGCACACGCCGACACAGGCGTCCATCATCAGGCCGGCCCACGGCCATCAGCGAATAGAAAGAACCAAGACCACTGACCGTCTCGTACGTGCAAGCCCAGTACTGTACAACATTCTTATCGTTCAGCGCGGCATCAGTGAACGCCATTAGCCCCGTCGCCCCTGAGCGTGTCCAGCTCGTCCTTGGTCCGCCTGTACATCTCCTGCGCCTCCCTCTCCCTCCGGCTGACGAAGCCGACCTCCTCGCGCAACGCCTCGAGACGGCGCGAGATGGCCACCTCCTCAGAGATGGCCAGCGTCTTGAAGCCGTTGAGTGCATTGTTCGCCTTCTCCAGCGCCTCGTGCGCGCCGTTGATCTTCTCGCGCAGCAGCGCCTGGCGCTTCAGGTAGCCGCCGAGGTGCAGCTTCAGCTTCGTCTCCAGCTTGGTGCCCCTGTCTGCTGACGCAATAATCGAGTCCTGCACCGTCTTGCAACATGTTAGCGAATGACGTTCTCCTCTCCCGTTGCTTCTCGGGACGACCTACATCGAATGCGGCACGCATGACTGTCTCCTGGTGGCGCTCTTCGTCATCGTCGTAGCAGCCGAGACCAAGGAGGAGAGAACTGCTGCTGCGGCTTTCAAAGTGCTGCTGGACCTGCTCGAGGCCTGGGATTTCCGCCGTCTCCGCCGCGATCGCCTGCCGAGCCGCGGCCAGATCACTGTCACCAATGACATCAAGTGGTGGCGCGGACCCCTTCACCTTGCCTCCGGGCTGCGGAAATTTGGTCGCGTCGTTGGCGATGAGCTTGGCGGCTTCCGCGGCAATCAGGCCCTCGGGTCCGTCGGCGATTTTGGATGCCAGCGAGACCAGCGCAGAAATGTTAACGGAGGCTGGCCGGGGCAGGTTCTTCTGCATGACCTGCGACCGTCGTTTCTGTTCCAACGCCTCCAGAGCCTCGCGGGTCTCCCGATCGCGGCGATCACGGCGGGAGGCGTCCTCGCGTAGCTCGTCGTCCGTCTTGACGACCTCTTGCTGTTCCTCGGGAAGCTCGAGCTCCCACTCGACATCCTTCGGCTTCGGCAGAGATGCGAGACCTTGCTTCAGGTGGTTGCGTACGGCCAGCTCGCGCATCTTTACATCGCGGGGGGTGGCGCCGACCTGCGAAGTCCCGTCCTCGTTGAGGGCAAAGCTGTCCCGAGGCGTTCGCATGGGCGTCTGCCCTGGCCGGCCCGGTGTTGCTCCCACGCCGTTTGCGCCAGCTCGCAAGGGTGTGGCCAGGGGGTTGGGCGTTGATACCACGTGCTTCCGCGGCGCAATGCCGTCAAAGCCTGTCGACTGGGCGCCCTCGTGTAGAGGCGTATTCTCCCCGCCCAGCAGAGACGACTGTGTGTTTGTCAGGGCGCGAATATTTCGGAGTTCGTTGGCGATGTGATCTTCTTGCGCAGGCGCACGAGGTGTGCGGATGGGCGTGCCGTTGTTGAGCGTCGAATATTCGCTGACGAGGCCGCGCGTCGAGTCGTTCTCGGCTTGTCGGGCCAGGTTGCTGGCGCGCTCACCCATCATACCCATCTTGACGATATCCTCGAGCTCGCCGTCACTGACCTGCGGGGCAGGCAGGTTGAGTGCCCGCCTCTTGCTGCTCTGCTCCGCCTCTCTGATCTTCTGCTGCTGCCCCGCCTTCATGGCGGCCTGGTGCGACGCCGACGCACCGTCCTTGTCCTTCTTCCTCCTCTTGCTGTCGCCGTCGTCGTCGCCGTCTCCTTTGCGCTTGTTGGCCAGGTGCTGTTTCCGCGGGTCGAAAGCCTCGCGCGCGCGTTCATTCTCGACAATTTCGTCGGCGGTATCGTAAAAGCCCGGCACGGCCTTTTTCTCAAAGGGAATGTCGGCATTGTAGTCCATCTGGCCCTTCTTCCGCGTGACGACCTTGATGTTGATGCCGGCCGTCTTGAGCTCGCGCCGCTTCTGCAGCGAGGCGAGACGGCGCGACTCCTCCTGCTGTCTCTCGCGGGCCTTGCGCTTGGCCTTCTTGCCCTGCGTGTTGGCGAGACGCGCACGCGCCTCGCTCAGCATCTCCTTCTCGTCCTCGTCGAGGTCGATCGTGTCGGGCCGCGCCGGCTTGCTCTCGGGGTCCGGATCGAGCTCGCCGGGCCGCAAGCGTCGCACGTCGTCGGCAGAGGGGGCCTGCGTCTCGGCGCCGTCGGGTCCCGTCAGGCCCAGGCCGCTGCCCTCGCGGGCCTCGGCCTCGTCGAGGAGCTTCTGGTAGCGCTCGAGGCACTGGTTGGCGGTGCGGCCGACGACGGGGGCGATGGTGCGCCACTGGGTCGGCATGAGCTTGGCGAGGTGCAAGAGCTTCTCGTCCTCCTCCTTGCTCCATTCGATCTTCTTGATGCTGGGGTCGAGCCATTCGTTCCATCGCGCTTTGCACTGCTTGGGCGTCTTGCGCGCCAGCAGGGACGACACGCGCGCCCATTGGTTGAGGCCATATTTCGAGACTGAGGCCTTGAGGATCTCATCCTCAATGTTGGTCCAGACGCCTCCCTTGACGACGGGCATTTTGGCGGTGGGAAAGCAGAGTGATGATGAGAGAGGGGGGAGCTGTCCAGCCTGATGCTGGAGTAGCAGACAGAAAATGAAGATGAACGTGATGATGGAACACGGGTTACGTAAGGTACCTCTACTTTCCCGCGCTGGCGGCTTATATGCTTTAGATGCATGTATACTGGCCACAAGTGCGGATCCGGCTCCATGCATACATAGTATACGCTTAGAGTGTGCCAAGTGGGGCGGTACACTGACGTAGGTAGATCGCTTCAAGGTACCCATCTCACTTCAAGAAAAAAACGCCGAACAACGACCACGGCAGCCAGAAAAGGATCATTTCCTCAGTCACAGTCATATTGAACGTGTACCCGTTATGAAACGATTCACCTGCATTCGTGAATCGACGCCTGGCTGAGGCTCCATCTGCAGACCACACTGTCACTGTTGACCCACGTCATTCGCTTTCTCCCGCCTTTCATGAGGATTTTAGTCAATAGTAAAGGTCCAGGCCAACCCTGCCATTGTGACATGTCAAGATTTTGGGTGCGTTTCACCATGTCAACCAGGATCAATAGGAGAGGCCGAGAGTGTCCAATGGGAAATGGGTGGATGAAGATGATTGGTAGACCGCTGAAGTATGTACAACAACAACAAAAGTTCCTCCACGGTGAGCCAAACTTTTTGAGGGGATATCAGAGCCAGATCCCGTCGAAACCAAAAACCGTCTACTTGACTTGACGCCTGCATGTGGTGCCTCTACACATTGGGGATGCCCTGGTACTCCGCGTAACCGAGCGCAAGGTTCATGTTCTCTGTCACGCATCTCATTAGTGGATCGGTCAATAGCATGCGCAGAGAGGGGGTACGCACGCAGGCACTGAGTAGCAGCTCCCTTGTTGAGGTTGTCCATGGAGACGCAGCTTGGGAGGGTCAGCATGACGGTCATACGTGGAAGAGAGCCACCAGAAAACTTACATAACGACACGCTTGCCAGTGTTGTCAACGGCGAAGCCTCCAATCTCGCAGTGGTGCAGCGAGGACACGGAGCGCACGAGGGGCGCCTCGCCCACGACCTTGACGAGCTTCTCGCCGGCATAGCGGTCCTGGTACAGCTGGCGGATGTCGCGCGAGGTCATGGTCTTGTTGAGCGTGATGTTGATGGTGAGGTGGATGGAACGGAACCAGCTGGCGACGTGGGGGATGAAAGCAACCGAGGTACCGAGGTGGTGGCTGATCTCCCGCTCGTGGACGTGGCCCGTCAGACTGTAGGGAATGAGGTTGTCCTTCAACAGGTTGACGTCGTTCTTGGGGGACGGCTTCGTGCCCGGCGCCCGAGTAGCCCGAAACGCCAAAGACGACAGGCTCCCCGGCGAGGTGCTCGACCAGAGGCGCAATGCCGAGCTGGGGCGGCCGTGGCGTAGCATCCGGGGTTGGAGATGCGGGTAGACGGGAAGATGTCGGAGCGCTTGGTGAGCTCGGGCAGTCCGTAGGCCCACTCCCTTGTCGAAGCGGTAATCGGCAGAGAGGTCGACAATGACGCTGCCGCCGGTCTTGCCCTTCTGCGATTCGTTGATAGCATCCACGTAGGGCTTGCACACGCCGTTGGGGAGGGCCATGACCCAGCAGTCGATCTCGCCCTTGGCGTCGAGCTGTGCAGCATCCTCGGGCGTCAGGTGTTCGTAGATGACCTTGCGCTTGGTGTATCGCTCAAGCTCCTTGCCGGCAAGCTCTCGTGACGACACATGGCGAAGGTCCATGTAGGGGTGGGCTTCGAAGAGATCGATCAGAGCCTGACCGGTGTATCCACGGGCGCCGATCAGGGCGATGCGGGACGGGACGTCATTCGAGGCATTCTTCTTGTCGAGCGGGGGGTTGGGGTTCGTGGTGGTAGCGTAGCCCTGTCGTTGCTGGCGCACCGGCGTGGATGGCGTGCGGAGACGAGCCGACGGGACGGCCAGAGGCCTCGCCGTCGAGAGGTTACGGGCGTTGTTGATGCTGTGGTTTCGGCCGAGGACAATCGGGCTGGGGCTCGGAGGAGCCACGGACGCAGATCGTCGAAGTAGTTGGCGGGCGCCGGTGCGCGCCGCCATGGAAGTGGAAGACATCATGGGTTCGGAGGCTTCTCAATCCAATTGACTCGCTGGTGAAGGGTGGGGAGTTCGAAAGGGCGAGGAACGGGAAATCGATCGGTGAGAGGTGAAAAGAGGCGGGTGTGGTGGTGAGGCTCAGAATCGACCCCAACCAGTGCGTGCCCGAGATCGGTGGATGAGTCAAGTACCGTACTACGGAAAGGTGAGGAGGGGCTCCGGTTTTTTTTTTCTGAGTCCTGTGTGACCGCTGTGGCTGAGAGGTGGCCGTCCATCGACGATGGGTGGCGCAGTACTCTCTTTGAGCTTGGAGATAAGCCTTCCTCCTGCCTTGGGATCGACCAGCCAGTCGGTACTCGTGCATTGTCTCTGTTGGAGTCAGGGTGCATATCTCACCCAATTTACCCTCTGAAGATACACATCAAGCTTGGCTGCGACTTGTGACATTGCTCCAGCTCTTTGACTCTTGTATCACCAGAGAGAGAGAGAGAGAGTGAGAGAGAGAGAGAGAGTTTCGACAGCCCGACGGTGAGTACGACGTGACATTTGAAAGATCCGATGTGATGAGTAGACTCTCAGATGCTGGACACAGCGCCCATGGCTACACGTCAACGTGCCCCCCTCCCTACCTAGGTAGGTACTGCCGACAAGCACGAGCTTCAGGTGCAGCCAGCGCATTAGCCCCCTCCGCAAACTCCGTGGCGGACCATGATCCCTGTCTGCCCATACCACTCTCTCTGCCCTGAGAATGCTGCTTGGTCATGCGAGTCAATGCCTGGAACAACTGGGGCTGCACTGCATCGTCATCGTTAGTCGCCGCCTCTTGTTGTTGCCATCACATCACTGCGATCAACTGCCATGTCATCCCCACACTTGGCTCATCACTCTAGGCCCTGATGCCCTCATCGTCTTCTTCTACTTATCTATCCCTCTGGCCCCCCTTCTAATACCACCTTTCGGATTGTGCTCCATCCGCCGTTTCGTTGCGCGCAATGGACCAAAACTAACCCTGCCCATCCCCCACCTCCACACTATACCATTCGGGCCAAGTGGGACATCACATTCGCGCCTATTGATTTGCCATCTATCCAACCTCGGCGAAGCCCCTGTGCTTTGCAGCTTGCAACCGGGACTCAACGCCGTCTCTCAAAACACCTTCTCGCCATGCCGGCGCCCAAGACGTATGCAGCCGTCGTGGCTGATGAACAAGACCCCGTCCTCGGCTCGCCACTCAACCCAGCAAACACTTTGAACGCGACCAGTCCCTTCCTTCCCAACATCGACGACGACAATGACGAACAAGGCGCAAGGGCAGCAGGTTGGGATGCAGCAGCCGATTTTGACGGCCTTCCCTGGTGGCAGGTCCCATCTGTACGAGGTGCCCCTCCAGCTTCATATGCAGTCAGCTTCTAACCAGATGCCCCATGTCAGGTCACTTGGCTGCTGGTGCCCTTCTTCATCTTCGCCATGGCCTTTGGTGGCATGATTGTTCCGAAACTCAACCTGTGAGTCCGGAGATCCAGGCAGTCCCGCGGCATGGACCCGTGTACTGACGAGGGCTTTCCCCTAGTATCGTCGATTTGATGTGCCGCAAGCACTTCGCAGACGAAACCCTGCTCGACCCCAACTTTACCTTTATCCCTGTGGTTCTTGGTGCCGACAATCCGCAATGCTTTATACCCGAAGTGAAGAAGAGTGTCTCCGTGTTCACCATGGCCATCAACCTCACCGTCGGGATCTTGTCAGCCTTTACTGCTCCCAAGTTCGGCCAGCTCTCAGACCGGTACGGTCGAACCAAGTTCCTGGCTCTGGCGTCCATTGGCGGCATCAGCGCCGAGATCATCACCATCCTCTGCGCCAAGTACCCAGATGTAGTCCACTACAACTGGCTCATCCTTGCTGCCGTCTGCGATGGCTTGACAGGTTCATTTACCGCCGGCGGCATCCTCAGCAACTCCTATGCGAGCGACTGCACGCCCCCCTCGAAACGCGCCGTGGTCATCGGTCGCCTCCACGCCTGCCTCTTCACCGGCCTGGCCGTCGGACCCCTCCTCGCAGGCTTTCTTGTGGCCGCAACGGGCACCCTCCTGTCCGTGTTCTATGCCCTTTTGATCTGCCACATCTTCTTCCTTTTCTTCGTTGGCTTTGTTGTGCCCGAGTCGCTGTCCCAGCAGCGCCGACTCCGCGCGCAAAAAGAGCACGCCGAGGAGCAGGACGATCACAGCGCTCGCGGGACCTGGCTCGCTCCTCTGCACGTGGCGAACGTCCTGGCGCCTCTCAAGGCCCTCTGGCCGACCAAGGCTGGCAGCTCGCCCGCTCTGCGCAGGAACCTGGTGGCGCTCGCGACCATCGACATGATCATTGCGGGCGTCGCCATGAGCATCGGTACCGTCCTCCTGCTCTACTGCGAGTCCGACGACACCTGGGGCTGGGGCACGGTCGAGAGCTCGCGTTTCATCTCGCTCCTGTCCTGGGTGCGCGTGTTCGTCCTGCTCGCCATCCTCCCCGCCATCAACCACATCTTCCGCGTCCGCCCCAACGCACGCCGCGCCCGCGCAACCGGCACGGCCGTCCCCGACGCCAACCAGGGCGCCGACACGCTCGACATTTGGCTGCTGCGCACCGCCCTCGTGTCCGACATTCTCGGCAGCACGGGCTACATGCTCGCCCGCCACGAGGGCGTCTTCGTCTTCGCCGGCATGCTGACCGCCATGGGTGGACTCGGCGGCGCCACCGTCCAGGCCACCCTTACGAAGCACGTGCCCTCTCAGCAGGTCGGCCAGCTGCTGGGCGCCATCGGACTGCTGCAGGCGCTGTCGAGGATCGTGGGGCCCATCGCCTTCAACAGCCTCTACGCCGTGACTGTGGGCAGCTTTGACACGGCCATCTTTGCGCTGCTGGCTAGCCTGTTCTTGCTCGCCTTTTTGGCCACGTGGTTGGTCAGGCCGCATGGTATGCTCCAGTCGCGTCTCCTTTTTATTCGTCGTCTTCTCCTTTTGCTAATGCATTGTGCAGTCTACTTGAAGCATGACGAAGAGCCTGTGGGCGCGGACGAACATGCCGGGGAGGAAGAGCCTCTTCTGCAAGAGCAGCGTGGTAGGTCGGCTGTCGGGTCGCAGGTCGCAGCCAGTGGGTGATCTGACCGTACTTCACCTGACGTTGAGGGAAACTGTTTTTGTTCGGTGCAAGGGTGCGGAGCGCGGGCGTTACGGTTACAGCATACACGGAAAGTGACATCACCGGGTAGAGGGGTGCATTTACGGTGATTGGTTCGTTGGATCATGGAGACAGAGTTGGTTGCATTACACGAGATTTCTCTGTCCATGGTTTCACACACTAGACAGACAGGCCATGTTGTCAGCTATTTTGAAGATGCATAACATGTAAGACAACCTGCCTTTGCTCTCGCGCGTGGGAGACTTCGGACGGCGGAGGGCCCCTGATGGGCCGTCTGAATGCTGCAGTCCTACTGCCAAAAAAAGTCATGGACTCAGAAATTGCCTCGGGCCAGGCATGACAGGAATGTGGTTGGATTCTCGTATTATCTGCAGCGATGTCCCTCATGCATCCATCTCTACATCCCCCTCATCAGCTCCTGCAAAGAAATCGGCTTCCTCACAGCATTATTCAGTCCTTCGTTGTACGACACCCAAACCCTCAACGGCTGATCCTGCGCCGCCCTGCCAGCACCATGCCCCTCTCCCTCTCCCTCCTGCAGCGGCTTCTCCTCAATGACGCGCCCGAAAAAGTCCTTCCTGACCCGGTCTGCGAGCGCCAGGACCTTGAGGCGCTTCTGTTCGATAGCCTCCTTCTCCACACGGGTCGAGGGCACGTCGTGACCAAGAGGGTTTCCGCCCTGGAAGCGAGCCTGGCGCGCCTCGTTCTCGCGGCGGACAATGCTGGCCTGCAGCTCCTGGTCGAGGACCTGACGGACGGCATATCGCGTAGGCGCCTGCACGGACAGGACGGAGGTGGCTGTCTCGTAGACGGCCAAGGCATCGAGATCCCTGTGCATTGTGAGTATAGGGGGCCTGGGTGTACGGATCAAATGGACACTTACGGCTCGAGTCGATAGACCCATTGCGGCGTCCGGTTAAAGGCAGAATCGGTCTCAATCTTGCCCCTTTGTAGAGTGATGCCGACGTCCACCATGATCTCCGCAGCGCGCTTGACCATGGCCTTCTCCGCATCCTTGCGCACGCTCGCAATGCCCTTCTGGTCTCCACCGCCGCCCACGACGACGGGCTTGACGTCTGGGGAAACGAGCCGAACAAGGTATGGGAGAAACTCGGCGGCAACGTCCTCGGGGCTGCGGAAAGACCGCATCAGCGTTGGGCTGAGCTGCGCCTGGATCGCTTGGAGCATGGCACGGTTTTCCTTCTCGGCCTGGTAAGCTTCAAAATCTGCCCTGGGGCCGGAGTAGGGCACTGTCGCCGCGTCGTCGTCGGCCGCCCCGCCCCATTTCTTGTCGTAGCCCATGGCGACGACGTGTCGTTTGGGCGAAGCGAACAGGCTGTGACAGGCGAGGACTGGCAGGCCAAGGTACGGCGCAAGCTCCCAGTCCTGGCTCGCGAAGAGACGCGAAGAACATGCGTCGTGGAACTGCAGCCAGTCGTAGGCCTCATTAGGTTTCGAGAGGAAGGAGTCGTCGTTGAACTCCCGGTTGGGGTACTCCAGCATGATGTCTGTGACGATCTTGTCAATTTCTCCGCTCGTGTTGACCATTTGCTGAAGGCGTTCCATGGAGTGCTTCTTCTGATACTCGGCAAAACCGAGCTGCGCCTTGGGTTGTTCGTGCTGGTTTGTTGCAGTTTTCGAGGTATCGAGAGCGGCCTTGGGAAAACCACCGCCTTCCTGGAAGACCCGTGCGACAATGTCTTTCGCGCTGCCTCTTCCCGTGCCGCGGGCTCCGCCTGCTCCGTTGGAGAGCTCTTGCACGACGTGCTTGTCGAGCCATTGCCGCGTCAGTCGTGGGGTGCTCTCTGTTGCGGCAGCTCTATAACGTCCTGCAACCCATTCACCTACAACCATGACACCTCGCAAGTCACCCTCGGCACCACTCTGGGCGCCTCGCTTTGCATCATTGCCAGTTGCCATGCCCCATGCGGCCTCGCAGATCTTCCTCGCGGCGTCCTTGTCGCAAGGAACACCCTCTTTGTCGAATACAGACTTGAGCCGCGTAGCGACCGACTCAATTGTAGGCTTGCCGACATGTATGACCTCTGCAAGACCGGATTGTCGAAGGGGCCGAAGAGAGGGGTGATACACATCGTTACAAATCAAGATGAGGGGCCGCATCAACCGGAAGTCGTCTCCCTTCTTCTTTTTGTGGCTTGTACTGCCCGCAGCCCCCGAATTCTTCTGATCGAGGAGCACGAGGTCGATCAGTGCCTTGACAAAACCACCCTCCCCCGAGGCTCCAGATCCGCTCACCGCTCCGTCCACCTCATCGACGATGACGCAAGCTGGGCGGGCGACTTTGGCCTGCTGTCCATCGCTACCGGTCTTTCTGTTGGCGACTGTTCGAACACTTTCAGTGCCTAGGCTTGTCCTGATGCGGTTCTTCACCACATCGCGACTCCTGTCGTCACTGGCATTGATCTCCATGACTTCGTACCCAGCCTGCCTTGCGCAGACGTGCGCTAACGTTGTCTTGCCGAGTCCAGGGGGGCCTGTCAACATCAGGATTTTCCGGTGTGGTTTCTCCTCGACGGCGGCGTCTTTTGCAGCTGGCCTACGCACGATTGGGGCCTTATTCGTAGCGCCAGGAAACACGATAGGATCCCAGCGCTTCAACCACCGCAACACTGTCCGATTCGTGCTGTCGTCACCGCAAAGGTCCATGAATGTCCGTGCTCGGTACTTCTCGGTCCATAGAAGGGATTTCTTAGGTTTTTTGTGCCCAATCTGAGTCCCCTCAATTGAAGGAAGAGGCTCCGAGGCGATGTTTTCGGGAACCCTGGGACGAGATCGAGCTTCCGAGATCTCCAAGGCAGCAGCATCCTTCAACTCGTTGATGTCGACGCCATAGTAGCCTCGTTTTGCCCGACCCTCCTTAGTCTTTGTCCTCGCCGCTATGATTGTCTCGTACGAGTCAATCGTGTTCGGTTTACGCTGCTGCAGGGTCACGGCTTTGCCTGTGGAGGTGCGGATGGTGTACGTCCGCCGGTTCGAGCTTTGCAAGATTCCCAGGTCGTCGAAAGGTAGCAGGTCGGGAACTTGAGAGCCATCGTATAGGTTGAGACTGTCCGGTGGCGGTATGAATGGTACCGTTTGTGTTGAAGATGGATCGCCGGTTCGTATTGTCTCGACAGGTATCGAATCGTCTTGCGGCGTGTATGATCGTTGCTGGAGGGATGGAAATGGGTGTGTGGTGCCGGTCAGGATTTTCTTCAATGGTGGTTCTTTGCCCCCTTCATCATCCGAGCTTTCAGAATCGTCTTCCAGCAGAAAACCGCTCTGCATTTTGGCTTTTGGTCGAGGAGGCGCATCTTTTACCGGACGGGGTCTTTTTTGGATTGGGAGGGGACGATGGTGCCGGATAGTGGATAGGAGAGGACGCGGTCAGCATGGCGACAACTGTACTTGAGATCTGGTCTCTGCAGAGCGACCAAAGGCTCTTCAAAAATCGAGGTGTTGAGGCTACCAGGTAAGCAATTTCGACTCTTGTTTGGTGGTTCGCATTGGCAGTGTTGGCTTGACTGGGGCAAGGAAAGGGAAAGACACTTCAAGGGTGTCCCCGCGGCGCCGCGGGACGCGACTTGACGCGACCAGTCCAATCCCTGTAAGTGGTTTCCAACACGACACACAGTATCTCTGATATTCAACACACTGTTTCGCACAAGGTCGAAGTCGATGGTCTAATGCTGCCTTTTCAGACCAATTCAAGCTCATGCTCTATCTTCACACGATTTCTACAGCTCCTGCAGAGCTTTCTTATAGATCTCTGCCTCGGCCACCATGTCTTCCATGCTCCTCGGTTTCCTTGCACTATCGTCAATGTGAGGGAACGCGCCCCCTGGACGTGGCCTGGCTCCTTTCTCCCGGACCACGGCATCCCATAGCGCGCCGCCAACATTTCCCTCCTCGCTAGTCATTTGTTCATAGATCTCATCCTTAGGCCCCGGGTCCTTGCTTGTCTCACCTGGAATCCGGGGCAGAATATGCACATGAACGTGCGGCACTGTCTGGCCCGCGCCAGCACCGTCTTGGAGGGCAATGTTGAAGGACCCAGCCTCGGGCGGGGCATGTAACGGCGATGATGCTTCATCTGACGATGCCTTGAAGTAGTGCCGCGCCAGCATCTTTTGCACGCGCTGCGTCGTCGTGAAGAGGTCCGTTACTTCAGGTGTTGTGAGGTCCGTCAGGCGCTTGTGCGGCTGGAGTGGACAGACCAGGACGTGGCCAGGGAGAAGAGGCTTCAGGTTGACGACGGCAAAGCAATGAGGCGTTCTCAGAAAGACCTGGTGCCGTTCGTAAGTGTTGCATTCAACACAGTACTGACTGGAGCCTTCAGGCTGAGTTGGCTCACCTGTTGTGTAACCTCAAACGCTCCGAAGAAGATTTTGTCCTGCGAACTCATAGCTTCTCGTGAGACACCAGAAAAAGCACGACTGCTCAGTGCTATCGAAGATTTCAGGGCAAACATGGAGTTAGTCCTATGCAACTGTATTGAAAGACCGAGGCAGGGTTCTTTGGGTTCAGTTTTGCCTAAGCGTCGTTGGTCCACTAAATGGAGGTTTGTCAATACGTCAACGGACTGATGCGGCCGCCTGGCTTTGGCTGCAGAAGGGGCATTGCCTACTGTGTTTATTGGTCAATGTGCACTGTAACAACAGTAGTGGTCTACAACCGTCCATCTTCAACTGGTACATTGTTCTGTTCGACCTCATAACCACAACCATGACCAGTCAAGTATTCGCTTTTCTAGCATTAATGTGACACGTACTAGCCAAAGTTCCTTCTCATGTACAGCCAGATTGCGGTGGCTACACAAGTGAAGGTGCGATGGGAAATGGCATCAATCACTACGGGACCATAGCCTCCTGTATTCGCGGGGGCAGCAATCGATGAAGGATGGTTGTCTAAACACAATGAAATCTGCCAGGAAATGGCTGTCTATATCGGAGCCCTAATAGACCCGGTTCGCTGTAACCTCATCTACTGATACAATCCATATACACGTTGTCTTTTCACCCCCTTGCTTACAGAGCTACATCTCCTGCTCCGAGCACTCGACCTTGGGAGCTGAAAAACTTCTTAGACTCCGCACAGCGTTCGCTCTTGCAGCCAGGGCACCTCAGCTCCATCTGCGGCGAGCAAGCAATGCCACTGTCAAGGTGAGCCTTGGCAATGTCGGCCAGCGCACGGATGAAGACCGGGCTGCCGTTGAGACTGTCGACACGCTTCACAGTATCCGGAGAGCCGGAGTCCGGGATGACTTCCTTGTCAATCTCATACAGCGTCTCGATATGATCAGAAGTAAAGGCGATGGGAATAAGGACGAGGTCCTTCTGGCCCTTGTGGACATAGCCCTCAACAGTGTCCGAAGTCTGGGGGCCAAGCCACGCCGAAGGGCCAACTTGAGACTGCCAGCAGAGACGGTAGGGGTTTGAGAACTTGAGCCGCTGCATGACAGCGTAGACTGTGGCGGCAACCTCGGGCGGGTAGGGGTCGCCTCGGTTGACCACAGACATGGGCAGACTGTGTGCGGAGAAGAGCAGGACAGCGTCCTTGCGACGCTCTTCGGGGTACTCAAGTAGCTTTTTCTCGATGTTCTGCGCAAACGCCTCTACCAGACCTGAGTGAACGGGCCATCGGTCGATGACACTCCAGTTGATGGTACCGTCGCCAGGAACGCCTGAGGCCGCATCCTTGCCCTCTAGTCTTTGTCTCCATTTCCACAGCTCATTGATGCTGCTCCCTGTGGTCGAGCAAGAGTATTGCGGGTATTGAGTGAATGCGACAGCTCGACCTCCCTTGCCACGACCAAACCCGTCGTCCAGTAGTCGGTTGTACATTTCTTCTGTCAAGGGGTTGGCATATCGGAACGCAACGTAAGGCTTGTGCGGTGCTGTCTCGGGAGAGATTTTGTCGAGAATCTTGCACATCTCCTCGTTCTGGTACTCGGACCACTTGCGGATGGGGGAGCCTCCGCCAATTTCAGCATATTGTTTTTGAATCTTGGGCGTCCGTCTTTGCGAAATCAGAGGACCAACATAGTTCTGGAAACGACCGAGGGGAATCAAATCGCCATCCGCCTAAATAGAGGCTTCAGTTAGGCAATCGAAAGACACGTCCACGGATAGACTTACAAAGAGTCGACTCAAGAAGTCTCCAACTTCATCTGTAGTTTGAGGACCGCCCATGTTGAGAAAGACCATGGCCGTCGGGCCTTTCGACCCTGTCGCATCCTGTGTGACTGGTGGCACCGTCGCAAGCTTTCGCGATTGGCTTGCGAGGTCCTTCGGAAGCGTGAGCTTTCGAGAAGACATGGCTGCCGGTGTCTTGGCCAAGCTCTTAGAGAGCTGCGCCGCTGAGCGTCGCATTGCCATTGTTGTTGAGGAAGATCAGTACAGGTCCTGAATAGATAATGGAATTCAAGTTAAGCTGGAGGAGGGGATTCCAGGGATCGGCGCCGCGCGTTTTGTACGAGTAATAACGTTTCGCTTGTGTTGTACAATGGTGTGGAATGGTCTGACTTTCTCGAGGCCACTAATCCCACGAAAGCATCATGATGCGTATTGGAGCGCTAGCGCAGCAACCATGCTGCTCCGAGGTCTTAGCCCGGTACTTGTCCACAAGACCACGGGCGCACCATCTTGAAAGTACCTGACTCCTCTGCAAATGCCGAGCGAATCACAAGGGACGTAATCCAGTTCCAATCCGGCACGTGACTGCGCGTTTGTTCCTGGAGCTCGGGCACGTGCCCTCACACCTGGTCGCGTCTGCCTGGAGTTTGTCCCATAGACACCATGAGCTGAGGCCTCTAAGCCATCAAGTGTGGTCAATTGATTGTTTCCTCTTTCTGCACAACCACCATCAACGCTTCCAAAAACCTTCATTGCTTCCTATAACCAGATTTTTTGTAGCGATGGCCGACAGAGATGATTACAAGAGGGAAGAAGATGAAGAAGCAGATGAGGAGGTTGAGAATGTAAGTCCTAACACAGTCTCACCCCATGCATCAGTGCTCACCCATCCAAGGACTACAAAAGCCAAAACGACGCGATCATTTTGGCTATAGATGTGAGCGATACAATGTTGGAGCAACCGCCAGCTTCGACATCACGAAAGGCCGATAAGGACAGTGCTGTTCAAGCAGCCCTGAAATGCGCGTATCAACTTATGCAACAACGTATCATCGCCAGTCCAAAAGACATGATGGGAATTCTGTTCTTTGGCACTGAAAAGTCGAAATTTCAGGAGCACAGCGGACGGAGTGGTCTAGGCTACCCTCACTGTTACCTTCACACTGACCTTGACATACCTGCCGCCGAAGATGTCAAAGCTCTTAAAGCCCTGGTCGAGGATGAGGAGGATGAGGAGGGCGTCTTGATACCGTCCTCTACAGAAAAGGTGCAAATGGCGAATGTGTTCTTCTGCGCCAATCAGATTTTTACCACCAAGGCGGCAAACTACAGCAGCCGTCGTCTGTTCATACTCACAGATAACGACAGTCCACACCCTTCAGACAAGGCGGCCAAATCAGCTGCTGCGGTCAGAGCCAAAGATCTCTACGACCTCGGAGTCAACATTGAGTTGTTCCCCATTACTCGGGGAGATAACGAGTTTGATCTGGCGCAATTCTACGATGTGAGCTGGTGCCTTCACTGGTGTCGAGTTGGGCGCGTGGCTGACAGGCGTAGGACATCATCTACCGCGACGCGAATGCTGAAGCAAACCATTCTGAGGTGCGGTACTCGAAGACGGCTGATGGACTCAGTCTCTTGAATTCTCTCATATCCAACATCAACTCAAAGCAGGTGGCAAAGCGTGCTCTCTTTTCAAGCGTTCCTCTGGAAATAGCACCTGGTCTGAGGATCTCAATCAAAGGCTACAACATATTACACCGCCAAGAACCAGCAAGAAGTTGCTACGTCTGGCTTGAGGGCGAGAAGCCGCAGATTGTTGCGGGTGAGACCACGCGCATCTCCGAAGACACCGCCCGCACGGTCGAGAAGTCCGAGACGAAGAAGGCGTACAAGTTCGGCGGCGAGTACATCTACTTCTCGCCAGAGGACCAGAAGTGTGCCAAAGATTTCGGACCACCCGTCATCCGTATCATCGGGTTCAAGAGCCGTGCCCAGATTCCGTTTTGGTCGAGCGTGAAGAAGTCAACGTTCATCTTCCCGAGCGAGGAAGACTTTGTTGGCTCTACTCGTGTGTTTTCGGCACTCTGGCAGAACTGCTCAGTCCACAGGTTGCCATTGCCTGGTGCATCATTCGCGCGAATGCGACCGCCAGTCTTGAGCGCTATCATCCCATCTCACGAGAGTACGGAGGAAAGCAATGCGACACCATTCCTTCCCGCAGGTCTCTGGCTCTACCCGCTTCCCTTTGCTGATGACTTGCGTGGAGGTCCGGCTACAGATGGTACTGAGCCCCCTCGTGCCTCGAATGAGCTCGTCGACCAGATGCGGGTTATCGTCCAGCAACTCCAGCTTCCCAAAGCCATGTACAATCCAATGCGATACCCAAACCCCGGCCTACAGTGGCACTACAAAATCTTACAGGCGCTCGCGCTCGAGGAGGAAGTACCAGAAGTGCCCGAAGATCTGACCTTGCCGAAGCACAAGGCTATCAACAAGCGTTCCGGTGGCTATCTGCAGGATTGGGCTGAGACGCTTCAGGAGGAGACCCAAAAGACGGCCAAGACGATCAAGACCAAACGCGAGGCGGACGATGACGCTGACGATGTCAAGCCAGCCAAGAAGGTCAAGGCTTCCTCCACAAAACCATCGGCTTCTGGAATGACAGATGCCCAGGTTCGGGCGGCAGCCACTGCTGGATCGCTCACCAAGATGGTTGTTGCCGATCTGAAGGACTTGCTCGCGATGAAAGGGCTGAGCATCTCGGGTAAAAAGGCTGATTTAGTGGAGAGGCTCGAGCAGTGGGCTGAGGAGACGTCCTAGCTAGGATAGAAGTCTTGTTTACGTCGCTTTGTGTATTTACTCGGACGAGCATGGAGTTCGGATTCAACTTGAAGGAATGCAGATAGGCTTGGGGGCACAGTGCTTGCTAGGTAACTTTGTGATGAAGGTCTGCCTCGGTGCTCGGCGGCAGTCAACATTGTCGACGTCCCTCACAATTGAATGGTCAAGGTGAAAAATCATCCAGGATCTGAACCTTACCCTTGCAGCCACATGGATCGTCCGCAACCCTATGTGTTTGCCACCGCAGCCTTCGTGTCCCAGAAATCAATAAGTATCGTACCACTGCTGCCTTGATATGCAAAAAGCCGTTCACCCATATGCAGCCAGTGCATCTCAACGGACAGGATCATAGTAAGTGTCTCAAGGTTTGGCACGAGGGCAAGCGTTCAAACGGTCTACTCGGCGATACTCAATCTCGATCGAAGCGTTCCAGCGTAGATTAACATGTAGTACGGTTCGTTCTCGAGACTCTGGTAACAAGCATTTCGAAGTCAGCATTTCTGCGTCTCGTGTTGGTTTCTTCCCGACGTCGCTGCGCTGCCATCTCTGGAGGCTGGTATCAACCCAGCAATTTGGATGCATGGAGTTCGACCACTGGACGCGAACTACCTTGAGTGGTGACCTGATTGTGCAGATAGAGGGGCGTACACCCCTCTAATCTGATATGGTGTGGGTGATCAACTGCTGAAGCGCGCTGTACACCCTCAGTTACATGCCCCTCCGACGCATGTACATTGAGTGCAGCATCATCAGCATTCGCCATGAATTATCTCAAAGGTTCCAGGATCAGACTTTCTCCATGGTCAAGATCTGTTCCTCGAGCACATCGATGCCTCCATCTTGCGCCACCCTTTCTCCTCGATGACTATGTGCCTCGGTACGCGATGCTGTCGTCCATCGATGCCGCTATGAAACGCTCCAAGGCATATGCCCACCTTCGCAATTGCAATCTCTGCCCTCGGCTCTGTGGCGTTAATCGCTACGAAACCACTGGGCACTGTTTGGTTGGTGACAAGGCGAAGGTGAACGTGATTGCGCCGCACTTTGGAGAAGGTGTGTATAGCATTCGCTGCTGCTTGTGTCGGCAGCATGCGAACCGCCAAAAGATACTCTGACACGTTAAACTAGAACCCTGCATCCAGGGACACAACGGCAGCGGTGCCGTCTTTTTTTCTGGGTGTAACCTACGATGTGTCTTCTGTCAGAACCACGACATTGCACACCAGCGGAACGGCCAGGACTTGACACCCGAAGAGCTGGGCGAGTGGTATCTGAAGCTGCAAGATGTGGGAGGCGTTCACAACATCAACCTTGTCACACCTGAACATGTTGTCCCGCAGGTGGCATTGAGCATCCTTCACGCTCGCGACCTCGGTTTGCGGTTGCCAATCGTTTACAACACCTCCAGCTTTGATTCACTCGAGTCACTGGAGCTCATGGACGGCTTGGTCGATATCTATCTACCCGATTTCAAGGTCTGGGAGAAAGCAACGTCGAAGCGACTGCTCAAGGCTGATGATTACGCCTCAACGGCGAGGGGGAGCATCAAGGCCATGCATGCGCAGGTAGGCGACCTTTGCTTCACACCCGACGGCATCGCCAAGAAAGGTGTCTTGGTGCGCCACTTGGTCATGCCGGGGAAGCAAGAGGAGGGCAGGCGTATTATGCAGTTTCTCGCTGAGGAGGTATCGAGGGATTGCTTTGTGAACATCATGGAACAGTACCACCCGGACGCTCACGTCGGAAAGCCGCGCCGACGCCTAGGAGGCAAAGCAGCCGGGTCCGACGTGTCGGCCGAAACACTCCGTTATGGCGACATCAATCGAGCCGTGTCGGATCAAGAGGTCACATCCCGCCCCAGCGCGGCTGAAGCTGTCGGACTGTGGCGCTTTTGTGATCCTCCCAAGCATGATGGATTCAACATCTGACCACGCGGCAAATCCGCTAAAACTCGACTCTGTAGAAGACCCCCAACTTGCTATGATCCATGCGCTTAACGACCGGCTACAAGTCCAAACGATCGGCGAGAGGAGCAACAAAAGGGTCACACTACTTTGTGTAACCCACGACCGACACGACCATGTTTGATTGGAGTACGCTGGCGCGATTCTTACCTCCCGCCTTCCCAACTCAATGAGCTAGCTATTCAGACCCCAGAGGCTTCATATTGTACCCGTGAGCAGTACCATTTCTGATGGCAGATAACAGATGACCCCCGCCGCTGGCCTGCTTTCACTGCACGCCATAATTGGTGGCCTGCTGGTTCTAGCCTCTCATCTGGGCTGCGACTTCAGCTCCTCGCGTCTTTGTCATGGTCACTTGAAGGGACAAAGATGGCCAATACTTGCTTGCGGCCCACGACCTTTTGACCACCACGCCCTTCCAACCTTTGTTGCTCGCTCGAGACGCACCAGACAAGACGAGGATGTCCCGGCTCATATATTTCCTGGCCTGCATCACACCGATCTAATGTCCTCTGCTGCTTCCTCCGTCGGTCCTAAAACCTGCTTGCAGGGACTCGCCCCTGATGTCGACCATTTCAAGCACCGTGGCTACCCTTATTGGTGGTGTCGCAGAGGCTCCCCCGAAACTCCATGCGAAAAAGTCGTCGATCCACTCTACTGGCCCTATACAGACAAACAGTCCAAACTGCAGAAGCGTTCCCAGCCTGACGACAACGCCACTCCGACCCTCTCTGAAAAGAAGTGTCACGAGTGGTAGCCAGAGAAGATCCATCCCGAGCAAGGTCCATGTCGACACGCGGGCGTTCAGCGGACAGGCCGCTCTCGACACCCCTCGATCCTTTCAGCAGCTGTACGGCGAGCAGGCCTATCTCCTGGCCTCCCGCGTATTGGAGGAACAACGATCGCGCGAGCTTGATGAGGTCGCCTTGCCACCCTCTAGGAAAGTCTGGACGGCGAATGCCCCCTTCATCAGTCCCGCTAGTTGAAAAAACAGTCATCGCTGCTCAGGGCGAAAA